ATCATCAGTAGATAGATTTGATATGTGTTTGAAAGTTGTCTTTAGATTAATTTGTGTTCATGTTGCCCTTTGTACAAAAATGGAAGAATTCAAAAGAACTAAAATGCCAGAGTATAGTAAAAGCATTTGTCTTGATGAAATTAATATTTCATTTGCTACATCAGCTGTATCTAAATTAAAAGAGTCAAATGCTGCATTAAAAAGATCAGGATGGGGAAGAAAGTTAAAATCCATTCAATCTAAAGCAGAACAAGAATTAAAGGAAAGAGTAGAAAAAGCAGAGTCTGTTGAACTAACAAAAATTGACGAAAATAAAGGTTTTGTTAACAGTTGTTTAGAACTTGCTTGGTCACAAATTCAAAATTTTCTAATAAAAGTATTAAATAACAGAATATTTGAATCAGAACATTCCAAACAAAAAGAGGATGTAGGAGAATTATTTTCGTTTGCTAATTGTAATGTTGGTGGTGAAAAGGAAGAAAATCAAAACGAAAAATATAAACTAGCAAAGAAAACTCTTACTAAAGAAAACATCAAAAAACTTATCGTTTCCTTAGAATCTTTTATTAAAGATGTAAGTAAAACTTGTCAATTTGAACCTGATAAATTTAATCAATTAAGAAATATTATTTCTATGAAGAAAGACGATTTAGCACATAATTTATTCGATGACTAATTAATTGATATTTTACTTATCTTCTTTTTACACCTTCATTGATTCTTTTTAATGGTATTAACATTCTTCAATTTATTTTATGGTGTTAACTTCATTCTCTTTACATTGAACAAAGAATGGAGGTAATTCTAATTCTTTAATTAAAATATATAAAGCTATATTTCAAGTTTTCTTCTTTTTAAATTTGAATGAATTATTATTCTCACAAGTTGTGGAAATATAAAGGTACTGTGTTGTGTTAGTTGAAAAATTACAATAAAATAATAAGGGTGTGTAACAATGATATTATATTTTCATCGTTTGAGTGGTATTGTATTTTTAAATTTTTGAAAAAAGAAAATAACAAAAAATAATTAATTGTTTTTTTGATTATGAACTTTCTGCAAAAACTATTGAAACTAATGAATCGTGTTATGCTTGTCTTAGTACTATGCATATACTTAACTTTTGCACAATGTTATAAAGATGGAACAGTCACAATAAAAAATATAGATTCATGTAAAACACCAAGTCAAGGTATTGGAGATGTAGCTCTTGAACAAAGAGATGGTGTTGAAGATTATAATGGATTTAGTTGGACACGAATTTTATTGAAAACAGGTTCAAAAACACCAATACTTAATATTTATGATTCATCAAATGAAAGATTTTTACTTCAATATGATAATCGTGAAATTATTACAACAACAGTGAATTTCTATCTTCAATCTAGTAATTGTCAATGGGCACTTTATAATAATGGTAGGTTATTGAATCCTTTGAATTTTTACTTTTATCCTGAATTTGAAATATCTGACTCTAAACCATTTATTTTTGCTCCTCATGGAGAAGGAACTTTTGTTAATAAAAATTCTAATTATATCACAATTGAATTTGACTATTGGGACTATAACAAAGCACGTGTTTCAGGGAAGATTAGATTGTTTATCGTTTCACGTTATCAATCAAATTATGTAGGTCATGTTTTGACAACAACAGACTCAAATGTAATTATGAGACCAAATTATCCAAACCAAGTTATGTGCACATTAAAGAATGGAGCAAAAAGATTTGGATACAATGGTGGAGATAAGAATGAGGTTAAAGAAGATTGTACATGTACATCAGTTGATGGAAAATGGGATAAAGATGATTGCACAGAGTTTTTACAGTATTTCCAAGTTGTTGTTGATTGTGAGTATACAACATCTATAAATGAACATTATGGAGGATATGCTTTCAAAGGATGTAAAGAAAATCAATTACCAATTGTTACTATTCCTGAATCATCAACAGTAATATTAGAAGATATGAAAATTAAAGAGAATGGTGTTCATTTTGAAGTTAGTGGAAAATTAACTATCAGTTTAACTATTCCATCAAGTTATCCACAAATTTTACTCAACGAAGTTGGGTCTGGAACAATCACAGTTAGTAGTGTTACTGTAGAAAGTGATATTCCATTTGACCAGTTATTATTTATAAGTAACAGTGATAGTATTACTGCTATTGGTTTAACAGGATATTGTAGTGGAGGATCGTATAGACGATATGCTAAAGAAGGTTCTAACGAAGAAGTGATGTGTGACTGCCATTTCAATGAGAATATTTCAGGTGATTATTACATTGAAGTTGATTGTGAAAAAGATTCTGAGTATAGAAATTTAATATTGCCTACAACACGTGAAATTACTGCATCTCGAACATGGAAGTCATTGGTAACTCAGTCAATATTTGACATTTCAGGTAAATACAAGTTAAAAGCTGGTTCAATGACAATAACTTGTTCAGGAACTATTAAAACACCAGTAGAAGTTACAACACTTACAAGTAATAAAAAGAATGGAATAGTGTTTTTTGGAGAATTGACAGTAACAACAATAAACACTGATATTACAAATGACGTTGTATTACTTTCATCATCAAGTAATGTTGGTTCATTATCAAAAAGTTGTGATGGAAAGATTAATGGGTCAAGTAGGTTCTACACTGGAACAGATCCAAAATGTAATTGTGAATATTCTAAAAATTCTTTCAAACAAAGAGATTGTTATCTGTTACCTAAATATCAAGAATTATACTTTTCTTTGGTTACTTCAAGTTATAAATCAATAAGAAAAGAGTATTATTCAAATATTATATCTACTTCATCATTCTCATTGAGTGGTTCTGAAACATTAACTATCCAGAGTTGTGATTTTTCATCATTAAAGAGTGTCACAATTGAATCTTCTTTGTACTGTAAAGTAATGAATGTTGCAAAAACAACAAAAATAAAAGTTTCTGCACTAATCACAATTGAAATGTACAATATCCCATCAGAAAAGTATATCAACGATGGTGCTATTATCAGTGTTACTTCTCCAGAGTATTTATTAATTAAAACAGTTTCTGGAAATGTATGTTCTGACATTGCCTCATCCACAAAACCATTCAATTCAGACACGTATAAAGCAGTACAAGGATGTACTTTATTGTCAAACAACAAACTATTAAGATATTGCCCTACTTCTAATACTGAAGACACTGTCAAATGTTCTATGAAAGGTTCTGACTATACAACATCTTCTTCTTTCGACAAAGAATATTGTCCATGCGAATCAGCTAATTGCTACATATATCCAACAACAACATCTATTGATTTAAAATTAAAATCAATGGAAAACAACTTTGTTATTGGAGGTACTTCTCTTACAAAAGAAATAACTAATCTAAAAACCATCACCGCTTTAATTATTACATCAGACTCAAAAAATATTAATATTTTATCAACGGAAACAGCTCATTTTCAGTCATTAATTGTTGATGGAAAAAGTAATACCATTTCACTCGGTCATTCATCTAGTTTAATTAGTATAAATAAAATTAGTGTTAATTCTGAACATAATCAAGTCAGTGTATATGCTCAATCAATTTCTTCAATATATTCTAAAACAACAAACATAATTCATATTATTAGCCCAAATGATGTTAATGTTAATTCTATGACATATGGAACAACAACATTCAATTCTGTAACAAGCAAAGACATACTTATATCCAATGAAGGGTCTGAAATTTCATTGACTTCCGAGGCTAAAATAAATTCTATTAGTACAGATGCTGTGACTTTACAATTCAATTCTAAAGTGATAATTAACTCAATAAACCCAACAGCAAAAGGAGTTTTAATCAAATTATATAAAAGTGAAAGTGAAATTAAGTTATCTACAGGAACATACTTATACACTGTCTATTGTCCTTCAGCAATAAACATTAAAATAGGAATGGAAAGTAAAACCCCAATTTCACTTGAATCTTATGGAACAGTTGAATTTACATCATCAACAATCACCCTTGATACAGTTAATTCAGGACCTTCATCAAATCTCATCATTGGAAGTGATGTCACAACATTCACCCTCAATAAAATTATAACCAAAAAAACATATGGAGAGATATTTACATTATCTCCTTCAACAAATCAACTCACTATTAACCTTGCACCAGACTATAGTTCTAGTATTACTAACCCAATGATCTTATTCTATACTAGAGCTCGAAGGGTTAATGTTGATAAACAGTGTGATGGAGTTGCAGTCCTTTCAGGAAGTTATTCTGACGAAATTACAACATGTAAAACACTTGGGCTGTATAACAGAGAGTGTAAACTGACTGATTCAGGTTATATCTACAATGGTTTCATTGATTACTCATGTCCATGTTCATCTACAAAATCAAATTGTGAAATATCATTATTTTCATCTCATTCTACTTACCAATATCCTACTGGACTCCAACCAACCACATTAATACTAGAAAGTGACACAGCACTAACATCAATAAACAACGTTATGTTTATTCTTCAAACAAATTTATATTCATTAACACTCTCAGGAAATAATTCAGTAGTTTCAATAAGTTCTTCTGATATTTCTTCTATTCTATTAACAGTTACTTCATTAGAGAATGGATTTATTCTTCATTCACAAATAAAGTCAATGACAATTAATACAAAAGCATTATTGAAATCAACAAGTAAGAGTTATGAGTTACTTTTAGGAGAAACTACTTCATTATGTGATTATTATTTATTCAAAGAAGGATATGCCCTTTGTCAGAAATGTAAAGAAGGATATATTCTTATTAACAACGCTTGCTATATATCTACAGATATTCAACATTGTACAAATTATGTTAAAACAACATCTGAAATAAAATGTCGAGAATGTTCATATGGTTATTATTGGAAGGATGGAAGTTGTTCTAAATGTTCTGAAAGTAATTGTATTGTTTGTAAAGATAATGATGGTACATGCATTGAATGTACCGAAGGATATAAGCTAATAAATGGTGTGTGCACTGCTGTCACTCCTGAAATTACAAGCTGCCTTTATTTCAAAGAATATTGTTATAAATGTTCTAATTCTCTATCAGTGTTATTTGGGTCTGCTAATTATTGTGGGGGATGTGACAGTAAATGTTCAAATTGTAAAGTTACTACTGACCAATGTATTACATGTAACATAAATAAAAAATATATGTCAGTATCAGGAGAGTGTTCTCTCATTCAGACAGCCGATTTAGTTTCTAATAACAACATTATTTCATGTAAATCTAACTATTATTTAACTTCTGGAGAATGTGTGTCTTGTTCAAAGAAATTTAAAGATTGCAGTATATGCACTGAAAAAACATGCATTACTTGCTCTTCTCCCAATGCATATATTACTAAAGATGGATCATGTGAAGTAGATCAGAATTGTAAAATATATGAAAATAACCAATGTTCTGTTTGTAAAGATGGATATTTCAAAACATCAGAAGGAGTTTGCTCTAGCTGTACAACTGGTTGTAATAAATGTAAAGATTCTAGTCTTTGTCTTGAATGTAGTGACTCATATTATCTAACAACCATGGGAAAATGTGTAGCCAATGAATTACCAAATTGTGAACTTAGTTCCAAAAAAGGATGTACTCGTTGTTTTGATCACTTTTATCTTGACTCAAATGGAAATTGTCAAGAATGCAATAAAACATGTCTAACATGTTTTAAAAATGCCTCTTTTTGTACTTCATGCCAATCAGACTATTACTTGGATCAAAATACATGTATTACTGATAATGGTAAATCTGGTAAATGCTCACACATATTACCAGGAGGTAAATGTGCTATTTGCAAAGTTGGTTATTATAACTTAAATAGTGATTGCTATGAATGTTCAGAAAACTGTACCACATGTCAGCGAGATGCTAATAGTTGTATTGAATGTGGAGAAAATTATTATCATTCATCATCACAAAATAAATGTTTATCACAAGATGACCTTGTTTATTGTATTTCAAAAAATTCATGGGGTTGTTCTAAATGTCTTGACGGAACATACATGTACAATGGTGAGTGTTATTTATGTTCAGATAATTGTATGAATTGTATATGGTCAAATATTTGTAGCTCTTGTGACTATGGGAAAGTATTGAGAAATGGAAAGTGTATACCATTAGAAGCTGTTGTTAATTGTATAGAAACATCAAATGGTAAATGCTCTAAATGTTCATTAAATTATAAACCAACCGAACTTGGAGATTATTGTGAATTTCACTTAAATGTTTTAATTGTTATTCTTCCAATTATTGGATTTATTATTATTTTAATTGTCATTCTTTGTATGGCTATTATTCTCATTAATTCTATTACTAGATACACTGCAAATAAACAACGAGAAAAAGAATTTACTTCATTCAAAATGTCTAGTTCATCAATTCATTTTGTTCCATTATCAAATGGAAGCTGTTTGACAACAAGTATGAGCGAAATAAACTTTACTGAAAATAATGTAATTCCTGTAGGACAAGAAACTAAAACATTATTATGTATTGGAAATACAAATAAAGCTATAATGAAAGTACAAATTACTAATAAAACTGATTGTGAAAGTAAATATGGAATAAGAAGTGAGCCACAACTTGCTTTTATAAAACCAGGAAATGCAGTAGAGTTTAATTTATTTGTCAAGCCATATTGTACTTGTAAAGTTGATGATCCTATTCTTATTGTTTCTTCAGATGTTAAAAAGAGTAAAGAAAAAACGTATCAACTTCATGTAATATTTGAAACAGAACTATCAACACGGCTTGACCCAGATGATATTAAAGAAGAAAAGAAAATAGGAGAAGGAACATTTGGAATAGTATATCTTGGAATATTCAGAGGAAATAAAGTAGCAATTAAAAAAATGAAACAGATTGATAAAAATGAAAATAAAATGACAGAATTTGAGAAAGAAGTGATGATGTTAGATAAGTTTAGAAGTGACTATATCATTCATTTTTATGGAGCAGTATTTATTCCTAATAAAATATGTATGGTAACAGAATATGCAGAATATGGGTCACTACAAGATGTGTTAATTAAAAAAACTGAAAATGAAATACCAATGAGTCTAAGATTGAAATTTATGATAGATTCTGCAAAAGGAATTGAGTACCTTCATTCAAATGGAATATTACATCGAGATATTAAACCAGATAATATTCTTATTGTATCACTTGATAATGGTATTGAAGTTAATTGTAAATTAACAGACTTTGGAGCATCCAGAAATATTAATATGATGATGACAAATATGACATTTACCAAAGGAATAGGATCACCAAAATATATGGCACCTGAAGTATTAAATCGAGAACATTATAAAATGCCATCAGACATATACTCTTTTGCAGTCACAATGTTACAATGTTTTACATGGGAAGATCCATTTCCTAAAACACAATTCAAATTTGCTTGGGACATAGCTGATTTAGTAGCTAATGGAAAAAGAACAAATCAAATTGAAAGAGTAACAAATCCACAAATTAAAAACTTGATTGTTAGAAGTTGGGAACAAGATACAAGAAAAAGACTTAATATTAATGATATTTTAAGTGGATTAAAAACTATAGACATTGCAAATTAATTGAATTGTAAAAATGAAAGAATTTTTGAACTAAAAAAAAAATAAACTTCAAAGAAACAAAAAAATTTATGGAATAACTTCAATAGAATTGTTAAAAGATGGATAATGGAAATCTTCAACAGTAAGTTTTCCTGAATCAATTAATTGTTGAATTTCAGGAATTCTATCTTGAAGCATTTTAATATATTCTTTAACTGTTACACATACCTCTTTAAATCCATCATCTCCCCACCATTTTGATTCGTTAGCATACATACATCTTCCACCACATAACTCAAACACATTACACTCTTCTTTATTACATGGGGAAAGTAAATGTGCTTTATCTTTCATATCCTTTTCATTAAAATCATCATTTTGAATCTTACCATAAATGTCTTGATCAGGAGCAATTGGACATCCAGTAACATCACCATTTGTAGCAACATTAAATGATGAAAATCCTGAACCACATCTAACTCTTGTCATTTTTTCTCCTGTTAAAATAGAATAAACCATTGCAGTAAATGGAGCAATTCCTTGGACCTTACCATTATTTTTCATTTCATCAATCCAGTTGTCAATTAATTGATGAAGACCTGGAAGATAATTAGTATCTCTCCATTCTAAGAATTTAAAATCCCAAGAAACATAAGCAGGTGCATCCCAACAAACATCTAATTGCCAATGGATATGATCAAATAATTTAGTATTAATTAAATAACTAACATCTCGAAGAATATCAGAACCTTTTGAAATAGTCATACGAGCAATAAGATCACCTTTATAACCATTTAACTTAATTAGCTTAACATTTTCAATTGCTTTTTCATATGTACCTTTTCCTCTTTTATTATTTGTAACCTCAGCATTACCATCAACACTAATAAGAATAGTTCCCATTTTATTAACATATTCTGGTTTTAATGTATGAAGAAGAGTTCCATTTGTTTGTAAAACAAATTCAGCATGAGGCATCATATCCATAACTTGATAAATTATTTGTGGACGTACAGTTGGCTCACCACCATAGAAACAAATAATTGGATCACTATCTTCAGAAATTCTTTTAAGATATTTAAGGTCATAATTAATTTCCATTGGCCAAGGATTAAGGTCTTCAATCTCAGTGTCATAAACTTCATCACTTCCACAATACTTACATCTAAGGTTGCACACTTGAGTTAAAGTAAGGAACCAAATCTTTCTTCCGTCCATTACTTATTTGATTTTGTATTTGATCTAGGGTTTGTTAAATATCATCAGCTTAACACCTAAATACTTTTCGAAGAAGTTAAACTTCTTTATTCGTGTTTCTCTCTTTTTGTTTTTTAGTAGTAAAAGAAACCCTGTTTTTTACGAATTGAAGAACATTGTTATTGAACTAACACAATTTGATAAATAAAACAATCAATCATACCAATTCTGCTTCACTAGAACTGTCTTCAGACATTGCATTCTTTTTCTCTCTATCCATGGCGTGTTGTGTTTCATAATCTTCAATTAAATCATTAATACCAAAAGAATGGTCACATCCTGCAACTGGACATTTAATAGTTTTATTACGTCCAATTAAATTGTATATGGCTTGTTTTGAAAATATATGTCCACATACTTGTGCCTTAACTGGATTAACAAATGGCTTTTTAGTTAAGGGACATATAAATGAGCGTGTGTTTGAAATAATAACTCCTTCATTCTCATCTTCGAAATAAGGTTCACTATGACGAGCATACCAAATCCTTCTTTTCATTTCTTTAATTTTAGGATGATCATCTCCAATAGTTTCTGTATTATTAATAACAGCTTGTTTATATTCTGCTTTAAAAGCACGTTCATCTTCAATTGCATCTGGATTGTCTTGTGATCTTCTTAATGCTGCAAGATGTCCATTTAATTTACTCTCTAACTCTAGCATTGATTTTAATGTTTCTTTATATTGTTGAAGTACATTAGGATCAGGGACTTCTTCAGTTTGTGTGTATGTTTCTGCACAATCAATTAATGATTCTATATATTCAGTAATTCGTTTACGATTTTTTTCATTATCATGAATAGTATCAATAACTTCAGTTTGTGACATAAATGTTATACTTACTTTTTTTTAAGTTTAAATTTATTTTTTCTGTTTTATTTTTTTAATTCTTTGAGTCATTTATATTAACATGTGAATGTTTTCTCATTCCTTTAAATACTACTTATATGATAATACTTTATATGCAATTATAATTTCTCTTTCATTATTAAAAATAAATATTTAATAATGAAAGATAGAATAAAATCAATAAACAATCAAATGAAAATACTAACAAAACCATTTAAGAATTTTGAAATATCTTCAAAAAAAAAGAAACTTAAAAATTTAATGATTTCTTTTCGATCAATCTTTGAAGCAAAACCAAAACAAGATCAATTACCATTAACAGGAAATACTACACTCGACTCAGCATTACAACCATTAAGACAACCAGTTCCAGAAAAAGTAATAGTTTCACCTAAAATCATTAATAATTTAAATACAATAGTAACATTATTAAGTGGTGAATCTACACGAGCATTACTTAGAAGATTAACTCATTTACAAATAGTTCCAGAAAATGGAGAGAAAACTGGAAGTGTTGGAGAAGAAATTAAAATTGAATTTACATCAGTTAGTCCATTAATTAGATTAGACATTATTGGATTAAATGGAAAATATGTTTTAGCTAATTTACCTGAAACATTAAAAGAAGTTAAATTAATTAATTTACAGGAAAATGTAGCAGAATCAATACTTTTTGATGAAAAAAAAGAATGGAAGTCATTAGAAAAGTTATATATTAATTATTGTGGAATTACTTCATTTAAAAAAAATAGTTTTACACCATTCTGTTTTCCACGATTAAACTTACTTGATCTATCAAATAATGAAATTATGACTTTAGAAAATATTAATGAAAGACCATTAGACATATTAATAGTAAATTCAAATAAAATAAATTCTATTAATATTCCTGTTGTTGGGTCTATTTCTTATTTATCACTTGACAATAATCAAATTACTAACTTATGTCCATTTGGAATATTTCTTCAATTACGCTATCTTTCTATTAAAAATAATCTTATTGAAGACTTAGACAACTTAAAAGAAGCATTTTCTCGTTTATTTAATTTAAATTCTATTTCAATAGAAAATAATCCAATAACAGACTCTAAAGAAAATTTATTATCTTTATGTTCATGTCTTCCTTGTATCTCTCTTGGAATGAATTGTAAACTTAATAATAAAATTATTACTCCAACAGAAGTCGCAGAGTTTATTAAAAAAGGTCCTAAAACGAAAGAAAACATTAAGACTATTAAACAAGACATTACTGATAAAGATGTAGAAGAGTATATATCCAAAAAGATGAATGAAGTTTTGAATGGTCATATTGATGATGAAAAATTGTTTGAAACAAGAAATTTTCTTCAAAAAATCTATGAGATTGTTGAAAATATTAAACCTAAAGAAGATATTGATGTAAATAACATTCATTTGAATGATCTCATCAATAACTGATTTTTTAATTTGTTTTATGTTATATAAATCAAAATTTTATGATCATTCATAAAAACTATATTAATAATAAAAAAGAACTATAAGAACTATATCAAAAAAAACCTATTGTTTTAATTAGAAAGAACTGAATAGGGTAAACTTGTGTGTTGATGGCTGTTTCCAAGACTACTAATCCACGTGTTTTAAAATACAGAGAAGCTAATAAAGCTCGTAAAGAAGCTAAAAAAGCCAAGGCTGCTAACAAGAAACCAGCCAAGGAAATTAAGCAAAAAGAAATGGCTCCAATTACTCGTGAAATGACCATTCATATGCATGCTTATCTTCACAAAGAATCATTCAAGAAGAGAGCTCCAAAAGCCATCAAAATCATTAGATTCCTTGCTATTAAAACTATGAAAACACACGTTGTAAAATTCGACATGGGATTAAATCAATTCATTTGGAGCCAAGGTATTAGATCAGTTGCTGACAGAATTAGAGTCAGAATGGCTAGACTCCCAATTGAAGGTGAAGAAGGTAAATTCTATACCCTCGTTTCATATGTTCCAGTAGCCAGTTTCAAAGGTCTCGTAACTAAAACCGTAGAAGAAGCTGAAAATTAAATTTGAATTCTTGAGGTTGTTTGCCATTTCTTTTAAGGGTTTTTTTTTGTTATTTTATTAAAATTTAATTAATGGTTTGTAATTGTATCTTGAATAAAAAATTGTAATTAGAATAATTCCTTTAAAGACGGAGAGAAATAATCTTCTATTTGAATATCATGACTTTCTGGTGATACTTTTGTATGACTAATTAACACACTCTTAAAACCTACTTTTTTTGCATTGGTCAATGCTAAAACTGAATCTTCAAAAACTACAGTATCATTAATGTCATGACCTAAACGATGAGATGCTTCAATATAAATATCAGCAGCAGGTTTACAATGTTTTACATCACTTCCAACAACTATTTCTTGTATACATTGTGAAATGTTATGTTTTTTAAGAAATTCTTGAATTGTTGGGACAGTGCTTGAAGATGCAATGGCAATAGGGATATTTTTTTCATGCATCTCAGTAATAAATTCAATAGCTCCTTTTATTGGTGGAGAAGTCAATGTACCTTCTCTTGAATTATCAACAAAATAACGTGTCAATGAATCTATAGTAAAGTGATCATTCAAGTGTTTGAATAAAGAGAGATAGTTTGTGGCAACACTTCTTACTGAGCCAACATAAATTCTATCTTTCTTTTCTTGGGATAATATGATGTTGTACTTCTGATCAAATGCATAATACATATTAATCCAAGCACTCATCCCATCAACAATTGTTCCATCAAAATCCATGACAATAGCTTTATACTTCATGAAACCAAATATTAACGATTTATGATCTTTTTGAAAAATTTTATTTTCTTTTGATTTTAAATGAAAAGTTTAATTAACAACAAGACAAGATTGAACCATATCAAATTAATGAAAAGGCATCTTTTATTTTAGACTTCTTTATTTGTAATGAAACAAGACCATTTTCTGTTGAAACTATCCCAACCTCTTTTAGCCTTTTTAGTGCTTGAGAGAATGACGATTGAGGAATATCTCCAAATTTGATTCTAACAGAATCTAGTAAAGCAGACTCAGAAGTATTGCCTGTATCAACTAAAGTAATACATATATTCTTTTGAAATGTGCTTAATTTCTTAAAGATTTCCATCCGGACTTTTTCTCGTGTTTTCTTTTTTGCTTGAATTACTGTTGGGATATAGTCTCTAAACCAAGGAATATTTGGCGCCCATTTTTCACCAACAACAGAGTTTAATACCATTCTCATTTGAAGAAGTTCTGATAATGAAAAAAGATAAGGACCATCAATAGTGTTTGTATTGAGAATAAACCTACAATTTGGTAATGATGATATTATTCGAGGAAGAAAGTGAAGGAAATACTTTTGGTTATTTAACAAGAATGGAGTATCAATATCATTCAACATAAAGATAAATGGACGTTGGTTGATAGTTTTTGCAGTAAGAGAATTAAGTAAAGATTGAACATCATCACTAGTCTTATTACTAAAATCAAATTGATTAAAGATATTATATGCTCTATTTACAATTTTAAATAACACATTTGCACATTCATTTTCTGACGACAATATTCCACATTCAAATTTCACAGGTTTAATTATTCTTGACTTCTCAAATCTATTTTTTACTTTAATAAAAAAGTCCCTTTTACAACCAACTCCATAATTTAATAAGTTATGAACAACAAGTATTGGAGGTATGTTCTTAAAATTTATATAAAAAGAGTTTGTTTGGTATTGTTGTTGTTCATTAGGTTTGATGTCATACTTATTTAAATCAATTTTAAATGGCTGTCTTTTATTGTATTTAGCAATAGACATAAATGGGGAAGAAATAGATTCACTATGTCTCATGAGAAGAACAACATTCTTATTATCCATAAGTATTGAAATTATGAGAAAAAATTGAGTTTTCTAAAAAATTAAAATATAAAAATGAGAAACAAAAAAAGAGTAAAAAAAGAACTTAATTTTTTTTATTTCTTATGTCTAAACCAGTGATTTCAGTAAATGTTTGTTTATACAATACTTATTAGTAGTAAAATTACTTACTTATTTTTAGGTTGTTATCGTTGGAGCTTCTGCAGTTGGTAAAACATCACTTTCAAATCAATTGGTAAATGTTTGTTGTATGAACAAAAGTAAATGAATTTTATTATTTATTAATTTAGAATATATTTAGCGAAGACTATACCTCTACCGCCGGAATGGATTTGTTTCAAGATACAATGGAAATGCCTGATTGCTCTGTTAGTTTAACTTTAAGAGACACTTGTGGACAAGAACAATATAAATCATTGGCAAGTCAGTACTATCGTGAAACACAAGGAGCACTTATTGTATATGATATTACAAATCGTGAATCATTTGATTATCTTCAAGACTGGATTGATGATGTTTCTATGTATTGTCCTCAAGGAGTTAAAATAGTTCTTGTTGGAAATAAAGTTGACCTTGAAAATGATGCTCGTGCAGTAACTACTGCTGAAGGACAACAATTCGCTTCTGAAGGTGGTTATGCTTTCTTTGAAACATCTGCTAAAATGAATATTAAAGTAGAAGAAGCTTTTCGTGAATTGGTTACAAGAATTGTACAAGCAGAACATGCTAATCCAGCACAAGTTGCTCAATCATCACAAGATCGTGTTCAAATCACTGCTCAAAAATCAACACCAGAAGAGAAAAAATCTTGTTGTTAAGTGAGTGCTATACAGCAAAAAATTATTCTCTTTTTTCCTCTCTGATTTTTTTATTATCATCAATTCTTAATTATTTTTTCAAAAAACAAAACTTACTTAATAAAACTATAGAGATTTAAAAGAACTCAAAAACAGAAAAGAACTTAAAAATAACTCATTTATGAGCGCAAAGATTAATAAAGTTATTAAAATTGGACTTGTTGGAGATGGTGCTGTTGGAAAAACTACATTTTTATTATCTTATACATCACAATCATTTTTGACTGAATACACACCAACTATCTTTGATAACTTCTGTCAAATAGAACCAGTAGGAAATGATATATTTAATGTTTCGTTATGGGATACAGCTGGACAAGATGAGTATTCATCATACCGTGCTGGATGTTATAATAACTGTAATTTTGATGTATTTTTGTTGTGCTTTAGTGTAACACAACGCTCATCATTTAGAAATATTAAAAACAAATGGATTATCGAATTAAGAAAATACGCACCTACTGTTCCAGTTATTGTTGTTGGTACTCAAGTTGATTTAAGAGAAGATAACAATAAAGACCATATTTCTAAAAAAGAAGGAGAAAAAATGGCTAAAGAATTAAAAGCTAAAAGATATGTTGAATGTACTTCAAAAGATTATGAAACAACTCATAATGTTGTTTTAGCAGCAATTGAAGATTATTTAGAAAAAGAAAAAGAAATGATTGCAAAAGTCAAGAAACAATATAAAAAGGAGATTGAAGAAGAAGAAAAGATGATGAAATTAATGAAAAAGGAAATGGAAAAACAAAAAGCAATAGAAAAGGAAAATAACTCAATTACACCAAGAGACCAATCAAAAAATGAAGAACAACCAACGACTCCTTCTGAACAAAAATAAAAAATCAAATTGTTTAAAAGGCATTTAAAAATACTCATTGAAAGATGATAAATTTATCCTTTTTTTTTATTTTTTTAATATTAGTTTTAAATTTACTAACAATTTATCTTTCAATAATAAAATATTATTCAACTTTTTATCTCTTTTAATTTTATCTTCATATAAATTTTAATTGAACTTATTCAATTCTCATACTTAACAATTTTTAAAACAATTTTAAATACATAAAATAAAAAAGAGAAATTAATTAGTAACGATAAGTATCACTCTTGTATGGTCCATTTACTGGAACTCCAATGTAATTAGCTTGTTCTTCAGTAAGTGTAGTTAATTTAACACCAAGTTTAGCAAGATGTAATCTAGCAACTTCTTCATCAAGTTCTTTTGGAAGAGTAATACAATCAATTGGGAGTTTTTCTCTCCATAATTTAATTTGAGCAAGAGTTTGATTAGAGAATGAATTTGACATGACAAAACTTGGATGTCCAGTAGCACATCCAAGATTAACAAGTCTTCCTTCTGCAAGAAGAAGAATAGAATGTCCATCTGGGAATGTGAATTTATCAACTTGTGGCTTAATATTTTCACGAACAATACCTGGATAACTTTCAATACCAGCAACATCAATTTCATTATCAAAATGTCCAATATTACAAACAATAGAATTGTTTCTCATATGTGCCATATGTTCTGCAAGAATAACTTTAGTATTACCAGTAGTTGTGACATATATTTCAGCTCTATCAAGAACATTTTCAATAGTTGTAACTTCATATCCATTCATTGATGCTTGAAGTGCACAAATTGGATCAATTTCAGTAACAACAACACGTGCTCCTTGTCCTCTAAGAGATTCAGCACATCCTTTTCCAACATCTCCATATCCACAAACACATGCAACTTTACCTCCAATCATAACATCAGTAGCACGATTAATACCATCAATTAATGAATGTCTACATCCATAAATATTATCAAATTTAGATTTAGTAACTGAATCATTTACATTAACAGCTGGGAAAAGAAGTTTCTTTTCTTTAACCATTTGTTTTAATCTTAAGACACCTGTAGTAGTTTCTTCTGAACATCCTCTAATTTCTGGTAAAATATTATGCCAAAAACGTGGATTTTCTTTAAGTTGTTTCTTTAAAACATTATGAAGTGCATTTACTTCTTCTGTTCCTTTAACATCAAGAATTTCTGGATGTTCTTCTGCATGATATCCTGTATGAATCATAAGTGTAGCATCTCCTCCATCATCAACAATAATTTGTGGTCCTTGATTTTCTCCAAATTTAAGTGCTTTTAGAGTACATTCCCAATACTCTTGAACTGTTTCTCCTTTCCATGCAAATACAGGAACACCAGCTTGAACAATAGCAGCAGCTGCATGATCTTGTGTTGAGAAAATATTACAAGATGCCCATCTAAGATTTGCTCCAAGTGCTTTAAGTGTTTCAATTAAAACACCTGTTTGAATAGTCATATGAAGTGATCCAGTAATTCTAGCTCCTTGAAGAGCATGTTCTTTACCATATTTTTCTCTAACAGCCATTAAACCTGGCATTTCATATTCTGCAAGAGTAAGTTCTTTTCTTCCCCAATCTGCAAGTTTAATGTCTTTGATCTTATAATCTTGTGCTGCCATCTTATTTATTTTTTTGCTAAAGATCCTTTTAAATAGTCATTTGTCCTTTTTTAAGGGTTTCTTGAGGGTTTCCTAATGTTGGAATATTTTGATGTTTTTTCCGACAAAATGCCAGCAAATGGTATTAAATTGTTATTATAAAATCGTAAAAAAAAAAGAATTTATAATGAAATGTCATTTTTTGAGAGATTTAAAAACAAATGTTCAGTCAAATGTCTTGTTGAAGATCTTCTATTTTATGTGAGAAACTCATTTCTTTTTAAATAGTTGTGCTGTTATTTGAATTTACATTCAGAAACTTCTTTTTAAAATAATTAATAACAATAAACAATGAAAGAAAGAAACAATGTTATTTCATATCAAGCATAAATCCTAAACAAGTGATATTATAGTCACCGTCAGTAAATGTAAATTCTCCCTTGTATGTACCTGGAGGACTCATATTAGGAATTTCCATTTCAAATTTAATAGATATTGGTCCTGGTAAAACTGGACATCTAACTACTGTTCCACACAAATCTTTATTTCCCAATGGAACAGGAGTCCATTCATCCCCATTATGCATTTTTAAAAGTGGTCGTGCAATAAATGTTTCACAATATCTATCTAATACCCCAACCATATTTAATTTAAACTTACTTCCAATTACTGGAGGCCATGGATCTCCATCTACTTTAGTAAATATAACTTCTGTTTGTGTTGGTTCAGGTAGACAAATGGAGTAATCAATATTAGCTGCAAAAAGAGTAGTGAATAGTATGAATAACACAAACATCAGTCTTGGTTTGAAATGTCTAAGATTTATTTGTTTTCAAGTATAGTAAATTATAATATATTTTTGTTTTATAATGATTGATTGATAGGCACAGGCATTTTAGTTACTGTTTTAATGAAAATGATAAAACAAAGAAAAGATGAAAAGGTGTTATGTTATTTGAGTAATGGAGATGTGGATTCCATTGAAATTGAATCTAAACTGAATAATGAACTTCTGATTCGGTCTTTATCAATAGGTTCAGCTGACAATAACCTTCTATCAACACAAACAGAACAAGCTCTTTCAAATGTGTTGAGTGGTGGTTGAGGTAATCTTATTAAAGAACAATCACCACAAACACATTTACCACAAAATCTGCAATGATGTCTTCTTATAAAAAATGAGAATGGTTTATTACAAATCATACATTTCACTACAGTATCATCTGGAACAAATAATGGTTTAATGAATGTATCATCACTTAGTTGATTTCTTGTTCTTAATGTGTTTAACATTTTTTCAACTGCTTTGTTAATTTCATCCATCCATTCTTGTTTTTCATTTTGATCTATTGCATATACAACAAATGATTTCTTATTAGTGAATAACTCAAACCCATTAACACTCTCTTCTACATTTTTTACAACAATATTAGCTACATCTACAACTTGAGAAATAACCATATTGTTTGAATCACCAATTCCATAGATTAAAATATCATTAAATAAATAAAAATATCGCGGTTTAATTGTTTTACGACATACTTTCATTAACATTCCTTCTTTAATAAAACACCGATGAGGTTCAACTAGTTTTCCAGAAAAACCTGATATTCTTCCTTCAATTAAAAATAATCTTCTTCTTCTTTCAGCAGCTACAATTGCTTTATTTGCAGAGTCAGTTAATTTTTTCATTTCCTTTAGTGCAACTTCTATCTTAGGATAATCAACATATGTGTCAGGAGTTCTTTTTAATAAATCAGTAAGTAATAAATTATATCGTGGTAATCGTTGTACTGGCATAATAAGAAATCCTCGCAGGTCTAATTGGTTTGTACCAGGTATTTGACATCTTAAGTCTTCAAAAACAGAACAAATATATTCAGATTGTTCTAGTTCAGTTAATGTATGTAATGAAACACCTGAATTCCCAATAAATTGATAATACACTTTTAAATAGGGAATAAATCGTTGGAACGTCTCTCCAATGCTACGACTTAATTTTCCTTCAATTTTGTATGTTTGTAAATCGTTCAAAAATGCTTGGTTGACATTATAAACTTGGTCAAAATAAAGAAATATATCTTCGATTTGTTTACGACTAAGTATTGGTGGTTGACATGTTTGAAGTTTTTCATAATAATAAACAATACAGGTGTGAAGTGAATCTACATATGAAATTTCTGTTTCTAATATTTCTTGAACTATTCTTTCTCTATACTCATCTCTGGATAATGTAGATTCTCTTCGAACTCTATTGATTGGAGGCACAGCAGTCATGAGACAATGGTTCATTCAAAGTTCAAATTCTGAAAAAAATTAATCAGAAAATACTTTTTCATTTCATTTCAATTCCATTTACCATTCTTTAACTTAATAAAATAACATCAAAAATTATCATACAATCACTTTATAATTCATACACTTATTTGAAGCAATACTTTTTCTTCTAACAGACTTGTTTTATTGAAATAAGTTAATTTAAAAACTCAAAAAGAAAGCTTTTGTTGACTGGTAGAATGATGGAATTATTGATTATGTACATATTATACTGAAACATCTTTTAATACACATTGTTATTTCTTAAATATCTTCTCATATATAACATATACTATGTTTGTATGTTAATTAATAAAGAAAAGTCTCAGTTTTTATGAAAATAGTAGTTGTATTATTCAGATAATTTTTATTTATTTTTGAGGATTATATTTCATTAAGTCATGAAAAAGAGGATTATTACAAGTAATTAAGTTATGAGAGAGTGTATTTGTGAAAGATAATTACCAACCATTTTTGATTATTAGGTTCATCTTATTCACATTGAATAGAAATACACTGGAAAACATTTATAAACAATCATATAATAGGAAAATAATATAAAAACTCAAAACAAAATGAATGAAATGATGTTTGTAATATGAGTCAATGAGTAAGAATAATGACAAGCAAATGCAAAAAGAAGAATATGCAGTATAAATAATCAAAACAAAGGAATTACAGAGTAGAAGATAAAGACATTATTATTTAATAAAAAACAATGGAGATGAAAAGAATTAAGATTTACTAATACATAAAAAAGAAGATAAATAAAAGAAAGAATAGTAATAAGTAAAAGTGTTTGAAATATTAGATAAATTAAACATATTTAGAATATTTGAACAATAATTTATTAAGTACAGTTATTAAAAATACATAAAATAATTTTCAAAACACGAATAAAAAGAATATACAATGAAATACCATTATGACACATTATGAAAGAATAAAAACACATAAATTTAGAATTAGAATAATGAAAGATTCTAAACTCATTTAGACTATCAAAAGGAATGAATAGAGTGATGTGCATCAGTATTTGAATCTAAATGAATTGAATAAATGTGTATAACTACTTGAATAATGCAAATAAGAATGTTTAGTTAATATTATTGAAGAAAAATATCCACTTAAACAGAAAATATGTTCAATATTACAAATAATAATTATGATGAACATTGAATGATCCCAAATAATTCATATTTTCATTCAACATTATTATAATGTTATGTTCTAATAATTTTATGTAATTTATTTGTAAATATTTCTTTCTTTAACTTCTTCAAATCATATTTTTTTCAATACTCAAACACTTCTAAAGTGTTATTTACAATTATACTGTTTATATCTTATTTAACAATGAGTTTAGAAAATCTATTAAAACATATAACATACTTCATGATAAAAGATATTATGATATGATTGAAATATTATGAGATTTGAAGTTATCTTCAAAACAGAATATCAAATTATAGTAGATAACTCATGGTACTTTGATACTCATAACTGAATATAGTTTATGAAGTAAAGTATTGAGAATCAAGCATAATTCAATAGTCTAATAAAAAGAGTCAATAATAATTTTTTTTGAGTTACAAACAAAACAAAATAATAAAACAAGATTCAATTTCAGTAAAAAGTACAATCAGTTAATTTGAAGTGACTCTAATGGTATTTCTTGTTTGAAATAATACATCTCATGAGGAATGTCTGGTGCATCTTGTTCCATCCACATGATAAAGGCATTAAGTGTATTTTTACGAGTGCAACTTGTTAAAATATAACTGTGGTACCATTCAAAGACAACAACACAAATAATTACACCAAGAAACACATCAACACTATAATGCCTTCGTAACATAACAAATAAACACCATCCAATCATAACATATACCCAGACATACAATGAAGTTAATGTAATTTTTAATGGATATCCATAGGAAGTAACCCATTTCCAGTTGAATGGATTAAAATCAATAATAGGAACTCTTCCAGAATAATGTGACCAAAACAAAGCTATTAAAGTGATGGACATAGTATGACCACTAAATAATTTATCTACTGTTGAGAAATGAAGACCTGTCATAATGTAAAATCCTTCTAAGAATGGATTTGAATTAACAGTAGTTTCAACTCGAGATGGGTCAGGTAAGATAGTTAAATAAACACAAACCAACCGAATTGCAAATAACACTCCCATTAAAGTAAAATACCTTCGTAAAATAATTAAACGATACTTTGTTATAAAAAATCTAAACACTAAACATATAATAATGATTGCTCCAAGATAAATATCTGCAAATTGAACAATATCAACAAATGGCATTAAAGTAAATCCAATATCATCTAATATGAATTGTTGGTATTTAATATCTGGATGGAACCTATAAAATATTCGTTGATTTTCTTGTGAAAAACAAATTACTACTCCACTAAAATACCCTGTAGTTATTGTAAGCAAAATAGCTACACATAAAGGATGTGTTAATCCAACAATAATTGATTGCATTGGATTATGAATTAAATATTGTAAACATGTTAATATAAAGAATAATGTATCTTTTAATCCACCAATAATACCACATGGTGGATATACTGCATTTTGTTCTGATGGTAAAATTAAATAATAGTCTCCTTCAATCATCTTCTTATTTCCACTTTCATCAACTCCATTAACAATAAGATGTTGCTGTTGTTGTTGTTGTTGCTCTAACTCCATTAAATGAATCAAAAATTAAGTTCTTATGAAGGGTTTATAAGGTAGTAACAACACGATCATCAAAAAAAAACATTTCATTATGAAAAAGAAGCAACTTTCGAGTAAGAAAGAAGGGAATTTTTTATTACTTCATTACTACATTCTTCTTCTTTACTTTTAGTAAAAAGATAACAAAATTTAAAAAAAACAACATTGCTTTAAATATGAGAAACTAACTTAAAACACTTTTTGGTATTTATGACTCATTTGTTCTGTTAAAACAATAAAAATACTTTTTAAATATTTCAAAATGAAAAAAGAAACAAAGAATAATATAACACACGATGATAAACAATTATGAAATTAATTACAAAAATTTAGAACATCGAATGACATAAAGAAGTACTTTCAGAACAATCAGAAATAATAGTATAAAATTGAGTAGAACATGGAGTAAATGCTGACAAGTCATTGCTTGGAGATGAAGATTGATAAATCATTGAAAGATCAGTAAAATAATTTAGTCCACATAAATTTAGAAGTTCATCAGTAACTCCAACTTCATTTAAAGTATTTCGATTTATAATAGTAGTATGTTTTACTTGATGATTACCATTAATTGCATTTCTTAATTTAGATGTAATTGGTTTAAGCATTTCAGAAGTAACTATTTTACCATTAGGAAGAATATATTTTTTCCATACAAAGAAATGAAGTGTTCTCATAGTCATTTTTCTAGCCATAACCTGACATGTTAAAGTCATTCCTTTTTGAATTAAAAAGGAACTTAAATAATTACTAAAAACTGCTTCTTTATTTTTGGTTTTTCTTTTTCTTAAACAATTAGCATTTTCTTTTTCTATTAATTCATTTTCATTATTTCCCCAAAGAATAAGATTAGGATTAGTTTGTGCATCAGATTCTAATATTGGTAATTTCTCATAACATAATGTTTGAATTTCTTCTAACTGTGTTAAAGAAGAAATTACTTCGGAATTAATGTTAAGTTCATTTGTAGATCGAATTCTTTTCTCTCCCCATAGCTTTCTCATAGCACACTCAAATAAAACACCATCCCTCAATACTGTAGATCCTGTTTTAACTTCATTGTCAATACTAATTTTATCCCCAATATAGACTTTTTTTGCAAATGAACTCATTTTAGTTTTATTAAATTGAACTTCAGCACCCATAAGAATAGCAAATAATAATGTGTCTGCATTACATTCAGCTCGAACATTTCTACTAGCTCGTTGTTTTTGAGCTTCAACCGATGTTGTTTTCATTTGTATTGTATTTTTCCTTATTTGAACTTAAATAGGCAGCACAGCATTTTGCCTATCAAATCTAAAGGAAAAGCCATACAAAACTTGACTACATTTTATTTTTTTGATTATTTTCTTTAAGTCGTCTTTTTTCAACCTTCGATTCTAATTCCATTTTGACTTTCAAATGCTTATCAGTCCTTTCTTTCCTAATTCTTCGGGATTATCCTCTTAATTAATCACTTTCTTAAAAATGACAAATTTCTCATTGCCTATTGACCCTTATATTCCATCCAAACTAGATTCAAAAGAATCTGCCTGTCTAATACTGAAAAAAAATCTCATTCTTAATGAGAAATTCTTTTTCTTCTTATCCATCAAATAACAAAATTTAATAACAATTTAATAATAATAATAAATTAATATTCAACATGAAAATCAAAGTTCCATTTGATTTGTGAGGAAAATATGGCAGGAAAGTGCTTGTGATAACTGTTTTACAGAGTCTTGTTGTTTTGAAATAAGTAAATGGTCAAACCAATCTCTTAAAGAATTGTCTTGACAAATGTCTTCAATTTCGAGATTTTGTTGAAGGAGAAATTGAAGAAAATGAAGTGATGACATAAGAAGGTCTTGATTGTCGATTGGAGTTAAAGTTACCATTTTAATTAAAGCCACTTTCTCTTCAATGGAAAAAGGGTCATGACCTAAAGAAGATTTTATTATTGTTTGGAAAGTTAACCTAGTTAAACTAAGACGAAGTGTTTCATCGGAAACGGATAAAGTTTTCGAAGGTAAATCACAGAAAGTGCTAGATTTGAATAATTTTTCTGAGAAAGATTGTGAAGCATCACTTACATTATTTACACAGTCTAATATTAATCGGCGTGTAGTGAGGCTAGAATAATCGTTATTTTTTAAGAATAAATTCAAACATAATTCTTCTATTTCTTCACAATAAACTTGACTTGTAATATTTCTTAATAACCGTAAAGCTGCTGTAATAGCAGAGTCATTCACTTCACATGAGAAGTTAATAAATCGAAGAAGAGTGATAAGATAGTTATTACTAATAACATTAATGTTGTTAGTAACTATTTCTCCTAAAATAACGAAAGCAGTAGTTTTAGTTTTATCTTCTGGAATAGTTAACAGTCTAATAGTCAGAGGAAGAAAAGATGTTAAAATTTTTTCATCATGGACTTTACTTGAAATACAACGAATTAACCAAATTAGGGAATAAGGAATCTTTTGACAAGTTTCAAAAACTTTTAATAAACGTTGTGGTAATTGGTTTTCCATTGAATATTTAAGAATTAATGGTGAATCAAGCAGAAGATTACATAAACAACCACAACCTAACCCAATTAACTCATTTTCATTTAAAGAATCCATGAGAATTTGAAAGATGTTATATTTAATGAGTTCGTTATTATAAATTGAATCAAAACCTGTTATATTTTGGATAATACCAAGAAACATTTGTTTTTGACGAATGTTCATCAAGATATATTGTTGAGTTAGTTTATAAATGACACCACACATAAACATCTCAGTAAAAGGAGGATGGTTTTGTCTTGAAGAATTGTTATAAATTTGTTCTAGAACTTTGTTAAACTGTTTTTCCTCTAATTTATTTTCATTTAACTGTTCATAGATATCACGATAACGTTCTTCGTAACCACGTGGAGATAATCTTGGAGATTCATCTTCAATAACAGAAACAATTCTTTGTGATGCTAACATTATTTCTCTTCTTCCTTTTCTTTTTTCTGATAAAATAGCATTTCGTTGTTGACATTGTTGTTTTAAGTTATTAAAGCTTCTGAGTGAAGACATTCTTTAGTATATTTAGATCATTCCTGAAAAAAAGAGTAATTTAAAAAAAATGTTTTATATCCCATATATTAATAAAAAGAAAGTATTAATTAGTATATTACAATAAAAGAATTTTCAAAAAGAGAAAAACATGGAATGTCCCAAATTTGTAGTCGTAAACTCCAACGAATATCTTGAAATTAGATATAATGAGAACCAGTGTTCAGATAAGCAAACAATTTCAAGAGGAGTATCTTCAAATGGCAAAAAGAAATGTTCTTATTGTAGAAGATATTCGTTCAGCTGAAAAAGAATTATATAAAAAATCACAACGATGGGTTCAGAGTATTGCTGGTTTGTTGAGGTTATTTTGTTTAGGAATCAACCTTCATTTTTTCCATTATTATCCTGTTAATTATGGTATTTTTAGAAGGAAAATAAAAATACTAACAAGTATAGTTGCTGCACGTGAAGGAATTCATGTTTCAGAAACTCTAAAATCATATAACGACAAATTTGAAAATAGTGATGTTAGTAATATCCAACGTGTATGTGTTGCTTTACAACAATTTGGTGAAATAGTTTATAATTTTGTACAACTATTAGACCAATTACAATTAGATTTGGACCAATGTCTTTGTGAATCACTTCGTTCATTTATTGATGAAGAGTTATCAATAGCTATAAATGGACCAAAACTTGATTCTATTAAAATAACATCACCAACTACAAATCCAAAATTATCACAATCAGTTGCAATTACTCAAATGGCAATTAATAAATTTGAAATAGAATCTCTTAAACAATTTACTAGTTCCTTTGAGACATTTGAAAATTTCACTGATGGAATGTTTACTCTTCCTCTGTATAAAGAAAGTTATGAATTTGCCAAGAAAGAAGCAAAACAACTAGAGAATGTTTTTGAAGATAATTTAAATACAGAAATGTCTCTCTATAGAAATTATTTTGGTATTTCTATTAAAAGATTACTTGAAGAAGAAAATAGGATGAATGCACAAATTCCAATGGGATTAGAAAAGGCTCTCAAGTATTTGTATTGTAATGGTCTTGATAAAGAAGGATTGTTTAGAATAAGTTCAACACCTGATAAACTGAACTTTATGAAAATGAAATTTTTAGCAATTAATTATTCTAATGAAGACCCTTACCTTGTCGCAAATTTAGTTAAATCATTCTTTAAAGAAATTCCAGGAAATTTAATTCCAAAAAGTTCAATCCCATCTTTCCTTGGATGGTATGGTTTGTTTTCTTGTGTCTCATTAGTTGTTGTATACTTTATTTTTATTTTATAATTTAGTCTAATACTTATGAATATAGACGTTTTAAAACAACTAGAAAAAAGTAGTGAACCTGAAGACAAAGACAAACAAGATGAAAAACAATTAGCTATTAAAATAAATGCTGATCTTCCATTATCAATTCCATTGGAAAATTATACATGTCTTAAATATTTAGTTGCACTTTTATATGAATTATCAAAGAATGCAAAGTCAAAAATGACACCAAGTACCATTTCTACTTGTATCTCTCCTTCTATATTCTATTGTGACCCTTCACTAAAAAATGAAAAACTTCTTGAGTATAATCTCAAGATCAACCAAATCTTTTCTTTTATCATTTCACATACACCTGTAGTATTCCCATCTGCTAAACGTTGTTTTTCATCAAGACAAAAAAGTATTTTTTTACAACATCCTGACTCAACTGATTCTTCGGATTCACAATCACCTTATCATTCTTCGAATTCACAACACTCATCTTCTCCATTTATTACTGAATCTCCGAGAACATTATCCTCAACAGTCTTAATTGATAAAAAAGCTAAAGAAAAAAAGAAAGAAAAAAAATCAAAAATGTCTCCTCTTCAAAACCAAGGAAGTATAATGGAAAAAAATATTTCTAATCTTCAAGAACAATCATCTACTCCACGCTTTAAATCTCCACGATTTTTTGGAAAACGAGGAACTTTATTTGAATCTTCAAGGTTGAGTTTAATGTGATATGTGTTAATTTAATTTGTGTAGTTGTTTAAAAGAGTATTCAATTAGTTTTGTTCTTCTTTGATTTTCTACAACAAAGAATATTATAAATGATACTGGCTATAAACGCTATAATTGAATAAATAGCTAATAGAATGGTGACTGGAATACTAATAACAATGAAAGATAATACTTCTTTTGGTAATAACCCACCGGCTGTTTCAAGGATTTTCATTGCTTGATTAGAAAATTCCCATGATGTTCTTGCTGATGGAACATGATAATGTTCATTTTCTTTTGTATTATTCACAACATCATTACGAAGTCCTAAAGCAACAAAAACTTTATGAGCAAGATCTGGTCTATCTGTTAAAATACCTTTAGCACCTAATCCAATTGCACGTGCCATTTCAATTTCATTATTTACAGTGAAATACATAAATGGAGTATCAAGCTCATCTTGTAAGACTTTATAAAAACCATCACTTAATACATCAAACCCTTTCATAGATAAATAAGGGGCAAAAAAGTATTCAACATTATTTGGATTTAAAAAGTAATACAACCGACTTAAGCCTAATGCCCCAGCTAAACCCATACTTAATCCTTCAACTTCATCATTTTCAGTGCAATACATATTACCAACTTGTTGTCTGAAATACACTTGCATAGGATGATAAGAACAGTCAATACAAACTTGTTTATTAATGTTTGGATATTTCTTTAACTCTTGAATTAACATGTCAACAGAGGCACTTACTTTATCTTTTAATTCAATAGAAATCCTAACATCTTTACCATAAAATTCATCTAATAATTCATTTAAGGTTGTCATAGTAATTCCTTTTCCTCTTAATGGATAAGTTTTACCATCTTCTGTAAACCAATAACCAGCATCAACTTTTTTAAGTTCAGCTAATGTAAAGTCTTTAACTTGACCTTTAATGTTAGTTGTTCTATTCAACCAATAATCATGTAATAAAACAAATTTATTGTCTTTTGTCATTTGAATATCACATTCTAATAAATCAACGTGATACTTATAATATGAAATCTTCATTGCTTCAAGAGTGTTTTCAGCATATATCCCTCTTCCTCCTCTATGAGCCACAAGTACTGGAAAATTATTATATTCAACTTGATGATGATCCCATCCATTTTTTGGTTTAACTATTGCGTTTAATAGTAATAGTACTCCATAAA